CAATTTACTTCCGAAACAGCATTGGTGCAACTTCTACCATCGATAATCTCTGAACATATCTTGCCATGTCATGTACATCTCGTGTGGAAAAGGGCCTCTCGTTTCGATGGTTCTTCATCTTCATGTTCAGCATGTTAGATCCTCTAAATAACAAGCATATCACTGTCAGCAGGTTCCACATGGGCATCCTCATCTTCCTCATTAACTTCCTCAATTGACTGGTTTTCTTCATGATTGGAATCATCTTCTTCGTCAACCAACATAACAACCTTGCGGTTTGGACAATCAACTTGCACAAGCCCAAAACCATGGCACTTAAACATCTTTCTCCTAGTCATATCCCCCTGAGGTTTCTTTTCATCACCCTTTGAAGATGAATTAGAAGAATTACGTCTATAATTGGCTGGGATTTCCACCACTACCACTACTAGTACTCCCCAGGTTGGGGTAATTCTTCTTGGAATATAATTTCTTTGGCTCCTATTTTTGTTGTTCGATGTTGATGGCAAGCTTTCGTACATCATTGAATGTCCAATAAGGTTGTAGGCGAATAACATAGGCGATGGCACGCCTTAAGCCACCAATATAACTTGCTATAGTCTGTTCCTCAAGTTCTCGGATATCACACTTAATCATGAGGTATTCACACTGTCGAGTATAGTCTTCCATAGTCTAACGATAATTCTCTTGTTTGTACATATCAGGAAGAAAACGTCTTCGAAGTTCTCTCTTCATCTTCTCCCAAGTTCGATTATTACCACGATCTTCTCTTTCTCTTTCTCGCTTCAAATTATCCCACCAAAGTGAAGCATATCCCTTATACTTGATGGCAGCGATCTTAGCCTTTTTTTTTCCTTAGAATAATCCTTGAACTCAAAGATTCGTTCTACGGTCAATAACCACTCCATAAACGCATCCCTTTGTGCTTTTCCATCAAAATCAGGAACATCAACCTTCACATCATCCCTTTTCTCTCGAGTATGGTTCCTCCTTCTCCTTGGGCGATCAGAGTCATCGTCTCGTTGTCTCCTAGGAAGATCCGAATTTTCACTAGTCATCTCCATCAGCCACATGAAAGGGATTAATATCAGAGTCCCCTTCATCTTCTTCCTTGGGGCTTCTACGCCTTTCTTGCCTTTCGTAGTGTTGGAGTTGCCTCTGTAGCTGTTTTATTGTCCTTCTCATCTCTTCCATCTCNTGAAAGCTCCTTATATCCAAAATTGACCTAGGAATTGGCCAACTTATGATTGCCTCGATCTTGCTTGGGTCAGCTTGAATACCGGCACTAGTTACTATGTAACCAAGAAAGCAAACTCTGTTAGTATAAAAGATGTTCTTCTTGAAAAGACCTTAGAACCAAGTAACTGGTCAAATAGATCATCTAACCTTGGGATTGGGAAGCAATATTTGATAGTGATCTTGTTGATTGCTCGACTGTCAACACACATCCTCCAAGTGCCATTTTTCTCAGGAACAAGCAAAGCAGATACGGCACAGGGACTAAGGCTCTTCCTTATTAAACCCCTCTCCAATAGTTCTTCGACTTGCCTTTAGAGTTCAGCTTGTAGTGTAGGATTCATCCTATAAGCGGCTTTGTTTGGCCACGATGCTCCTGGTATAACGTCAATTTGATGTTGAATATCGCATGGGTGGAAGTTCTAATGGTTCAAAGATCACATAATCAAACTAGCAAGTAACTTCTTGGCTCGTGTATCTAACTGATGCTCCTTATCTTGTGAGACTTCCATGGCTACTGTTATGTTAAATGGCTCTCCTTTATTAATGTGCCTACTAATTTGTGATCTGGTCATTAGCGTATCAGACACGGTCTTTGCCTTCTTTGAAAGTTCTTTAGGGTGCAATGGCGTCAAAACGATCTTACGTCCATCAATTATGAATGAATAGGTGTTACCGTATCCATCATGAAAAACACGCTTATCATATTGCCTGACAAGCATCCATCACATCACACCAAATTTGGTCTCTATAATTGGCTGGGATTTCCACCACTACCACTACTAGTACTCCCCAGGTTGGGGTAATTCTTCTTGGAATATAATTTCTTTGGCTCCTATTTTTGTTGTTCGATGTTGATGGCAAGCTTTCGTACATCATTGAATGTCCAATAAGGTTGTAGGCGAATAACATCGGCGATGGCACGCCTTAAGCCACCAATATAACTTGCTATAGTCTGTTCCTCAAGTTCTCGGATATCACACTTAATCATGAGGTATTCAAACTGTCGAGTATAGTCTTCCATAGTCTGGTCTGCTTGGCATAAGTTACGAAATTGACGATAATTCTCTTGTTTGTACGTATCAGGAAGAAAACGTCTTCGAAGTTCTCTCTTCATCTTCTCCCAAGTTCGATTATTACCACGACCTTCTCTTTCTCTTTCTCGCTTCAAATTATCCCACCAAAGTGAAACATATCCCTTATACTTGATGGCAGCGATCTTAGCCTTTTTTTTCCTCAGAATAATCCTTGAACTCAAAGATTCGTTCTACGGTCAATAACCACTCCATAAACGCATCCCTTTGTGCTTTTCCATCAAAATCAGGAACATCAACCTTCACATCATCCCTTTTCTCCCGAGTATGGTTCCTCCTTCTCCTTGGGCGATCAGAGTCATCGTCTCGTTGTCTCCTAGGAAGATCCGAATTTTCACTAGAGTCATCTCCATCAGCCACATGAAAGGGATTAATATCAGAGTCCCCTTCGTCTTCTTCCTTGGGGCTTCTACGCCTTTCTTGCCTTTCGTAGTGTTGGAGTTGCCTCTGTAGCTGTTTTATTGTCCTTCTCATCTCTTCCATCTTCATGTCATGATCGGCTGCTCTTCCTTCACCTTCATGACCCTAATGACCTTTTCTTGCTTGCATATTAGGTTCACCACCTGCTGCTCTGATACCAAATTGATGTGATTCGTCGAGTTAACAGAGAACCAACCGACCATGATCAAGATCTTGAAACGAAAACGTGGTTTGTGGGCCGGTTTCAAGAAACAACGTATCTCAAGCTAAAGACTCGGAATCTGATGATTCAAAAACGAGATGAAAGGTGACGATCTGAACTATAAGAAAGACTATTTACTCGTTCAAACCAAGTAAATATTAATGATGTACCGGTTCTAGGAAAGTTATGATCCTATAATAACAAAAACAAAAATGATTTTAGATCAAAAAACGTGTTCTTGAACGATCAAGAACTATACGAATTCCTAAAGTCACCGCTTGGAATCAATAACGTGATAAAGAAACACCACACGCAATTGAGAAAAAGATAAAAGACTATCACCGCCTTGCTTGGAACCAAAAACAAGGATAAAGAAAAACAAAATAGAGAAAAAACACTCTATTGCAAGTTAAGGTAAAGCTCAAAAACGTGAATTGCATTCTACAAGACATGTCCACACACCTATTCGTGGGCATATAAGAACTTGTTTTTGGCGAGCTAAATAACAAAAAGCTAATATTGCTTCTTGATTTACATCATTCTCCCCTCGTTGAAAAGGACTTGTCCTCTAGTCTAAAGGCTCTATAAATGGCGCAAGGTCAGCAACATTAAATATTGGTGAAACCCCATAATCGTCCGGTAAATCCAATCTGTTGATAAAGTTGTCTTTCTTGGCTTTGTTGTTAGTGCTCAAGGTGTTGAGGTTGATGAATCTAAGGTAGAGGCAATGAGGAGTTTTCATGGTTTAGCGGGTTTTTATAGAAGATTTGTAAAAGGGTTTATTACTATTGCCGCACCTTTCACCCAAATTATCAAGAAAGATGAGAGTTTTCTTTGCGGTCTTGAACAAGAGGAGGCTTTTAATGCCTTGAAGGAAGCTTTGAGTAGTGCGCCACTCTTACAATTGCCAAACTTTGATAGGACCTTTGAGATAGAGTGTGATGCAAGCCAAGTAGGCATTGGAGCGGTTCTTATGCTAGATGGAAAGCCTTTAGCCTATTTTAGTGAAAAACATAAGGGAGCTTGTTTGAAGTACTCTAACTACGATAGGGAGTTGTATGCCTTAGTGAGAGCCATAGCTACTTGGAGACACTACCTTTAGCATAGGGAGTTTGTTGTTAAAACNATAATTTTTCACAGAAACAACATTAACAAAATAGAACATAAAGAAAACAAATATATATACAGGGGTTCAATCTTATTTAAGAAAACAAACACATAGAGATGAGATAGAATGGCAACTGGAAAATTTAATTTAGAAATGCATCTCTCTCGTGAATTAAATCAAACACATTGTGTGACAAACACATTTCAGATATTTTTAATCAAAGAATTCCATAAAATGTAAATTTAGTTCTACCCACTTCGAACAAAAATTTAACACCAAAAACATCATTTTGAACAACCCCAAAATGTGAACACAACCCCAAACTAAAAAAGCAAAGAAAAGAGAACGTGCACCTAAGTATTTCTTGCCAAACATACATATCAAATCAGATAGAGTTTCATACATGCATGTAGAAAACCTAGCAATAAATTATGCAAAGAAGAGAAAAACCAACATTGAACCAAATACGGACAAACTTTTAAAAAAAAAATCCAGAAGTGAAGCCAGAACACAGGAAAAAGAAACATCCGTACTTTTTGGTTTTCTTTTATTGACTCAAGCACTTGTCACCTCATGATGGCCCACTTGTCATGCATTTTTTTCACCAATACATTGAGAGGAATGGACATACACTGGTTTGATACGCCGAGGAAAAACAATCGCCGTTTGATTTTGACATTCATGCTGCCTGACCGGCTAAAGAAGATCGATGCAAAGGTTAGATTTCACTTTAGAAACAAAATCTCCAATTTTTTGACCATCCTTCATTGTATCAATGTTTCTAGTACTCCTCATTCGCTTACAAAAGTTAACATATTTTTGGCAAACTTATATAATTCACAACTGGTTTTAGAAGTTCCAACTCAGAAAATTTCATTTACATTATTTTGATAGTCAGGAAGGTATGCAAGACCTTGTTGTTTTTACTATTAACTAATAAGCAATAAATTTTGATCATGAGCTACCTGCTTATTCTCTCTTGTAATAGTAGTAAAACTTAACCAAAGGTCTAGAATGTGAAAAGCAAGATTACTTAAAGAATGATTTTCTGTTTTCTTGCAAAATCCAAGATCATGGTTCTTATACATTTAGTGAAGACACGTATGTAAACGTAGATTATGATGGTCTGCCAATATTTTGAGACGTTTATGTGATCTATTATAAATTGGAAAAAACCCATCAGTTTGTTTATGTAGATGTTTAGGGGTTGTAGTGTTGAGGCAAATGTTTTTGAACTTTTTTTTTGGTGTTTGGTTGAGAAAATAAGGAAGATATTTTTCATTAAATGGAGGAAAATTACTTCTCTCACTTATGGGTGGATGCTGTTTCCTTATAGCAACTGTTTAGAGCTTCATGTTACTAATACTTAGATATTATTACTATTAATCTTTGGTAATTGATACTCAAATTTCATCAGAACATTCTCCCAGGACCTAGATGCCAATAATACGATTAATTTGACGGAAAAGGGCCAAATATACCCCTATACTATCGGAAAAGGTTTAAATATATCTTTCGTTATACTTTGAGTCCAAATATACCCCTATCGTTATACTATTGGTTCAAATATACACCTTTTTTGTTAAGTTTGTCCAAAGTGGACATCAGTCCTACGTGACACAGATATTGATGAGATGGATGCCATATGGCTTGCCACCTCAGCGTCCCTAACCCATTTGCCCCTCCTTTTTTTTTTCCGCCACTAAAATTTTCTTCTCCTCCACCACCATTATTGCTACCATGAAAAATATTCTATTTCAAATTTTAATCTTTTATATATGGATTAGGGGCGTTGAGGTGGCATAGATGGTACTGAATCGTTTCGAAAACACGGATATAGCAAAACACGCAGAATAAAAGATAAGAGCTAGACCTAGAATTGATTGGAAGAACAAAAACCAATTAGGTATGAAACCTAAGTACCTCTAGACCTACAATTGATTGGAAGAACAAGAGCCAATTAGGATATGAAGTCTAATTACCTCTATGAACTCAATCAATTGTAACCCTAAGCTATGAAGTCCTCAAGAGATTGACAACTCTTGGAAACCCGGATAAAGTAATTAAGCAATTAAGTATTCACAACTAATTGCTCGCCAACTAAAACTAATTTAGCACTAATGAAAGCAATAGAGAAATTAAAGGCATAAACATAAATGCATTAATTAAAAGATAAGGATAAAGGTGAGACTTGCACGTCTTAAAGCTTATCATTCATCAAGTCTACCTAAAATAAAAGCCTTAAGGGCTATTTATACTAGAGTGGGCATTTGGCTACAAATGATCCAAATGCCACCTCAACGCCCCTAATCCATTTGCACTCCAGTTTCTGCCCAGAAATTGCAGCTGAACAAAAGGCAAAAGCTGCAGTTTTGGACCAACTTTTTGAACCCAAATTTGAGCAGTGTTTGACAGCAGGAATTGCATCAGTTTGGAGCAGTGTTTGACAACAAGGACCTGCACACTTTTGAGTGCCATTTGTACACTGTTCAGCAGCAAATTCTACTCTGTTTCTCCTCTGTTTGAGCTGCTGAAACTGCAATTTTTGGACTAGCATTGGAGCTAAGAACATGTAGTAAATCTGCCCTGTTTCTGCACAGCTCTGCTGATCTTGACTGCTGATAGTTAACTGCACTATTAGTTACACTTCCGGGAGTTGTTTTACTGGCTCGGAGTGCATTTTTTTTTTTCGTGAGTCCAAGCTAAGCTTCTGAGTCTAAATACCTGAGGGAAGTATGTTCTGAAGTGTAGATAATTTCTCTAGAATTTGGGGCTGAAGTTTGGTGACTGATTCTGCAGATTCTACACAACTGGTTGCTAACAACCTGCAACTCTGTCAGCTATTGTGATTCTATCCAGCATTACAGTTTTGGCCATTCTTTGCAAATCTGGCCAGTTTTGCAAAATAGCCTATTTTTGTTAGTGATAGGGATACCAAGTTTGTTAGTTACTTTTGGAAAGGCCTTTGGAGTAAACTTGGCACACATTTGAACTTCTCTACTTCTTGCCACTCCCAAACCGATGGCCAAACCGAAGTGGTCAATAGGACCTTATGGAACATGCTTAGGGCCATGGTCAAGGGGAAGCTTACTTCTTGGGAGGAGCATTTACCTTGATTGAGTTTGCATATAATCGTTCTTATCATTCTTCTATTGGCATGACTCCTTTTGAATGTGTGTATGGTTTTAATCCCCTCACCCCTTTAGATCTAACTTCTTTGTCTCAAGATATGATTGTTAGTTTAGATGCCAAGAAAAGGGCCGAGGCTATGAAGAAGATTCATGAGAAGGCAAGACATCAACTGGAGAAAATGAATGACAAAGCGGCTTTTAGGACTATGGGGTTCATAAGATTCGGAAGTACACAAATGTCGGGTATGCTCATTTTTTCCCTTCATCTTTTATTCTTTCCTATTTGAGACATGTTATTTTAGTATATCATTTTTGTAAGCAAAAATTTGGATATTTAAGGTATATTAATCATTGCTGGCCATTCTTGCTGCGGTTCTTCTATAGAATACCCAATAGTGCTATACTGTGATCGCTTTCACAATTAATTGCCTAAAGCTCATACAATGCATTGGTTGGTCGATGGTGGTTACTTCATTCGTTTGTAAGATATTCAGGAACTTTACATTTCCTCCATGATAAATGATTCTATATTTTAAGAACTGCTGGCTAACTCTAAGATTCATTCTTTTCTAACAGGAAAAATCTCTGGAGATGTTATTTCTTTACATATATAATCCTATCACTTCTTGTGCCTCCCCTTTCATTATCTCTTAGTTCAATTTATGTTGCTAGCAGATAAGCAAATACTTAAAAGAAGGCCGAGGCTTTGTTGCTATTTTTCTTTGTTCCCGCTATCTGTTCCTATAATGTAAAGTGTAATCTGAACTTATTTACTTGTTGTAGACTAACAACTAGATGATCTTGAACACCTCCCTCAAGAAGGTAATATTTTTGTTAAAATTCCTGTTTGGTTCCTGAAATACTGTGCGACATATCATATTCATCTTTGTTCCTGAAATGTGAGCAAAGCTTCGTAGACGGCTTCGCTTCCTCCTCGCTTCTTTCCTGGCGACTAGCTTCTCAAGTGGGCGGCTTGGTAAGCGAGCTAACTTGTCAGATTCATCTGTTTCAATTACACATATTGAAGTACAAAATCTACAGATATGTAAAAATATGTCAAAAATTCACCAGCATTCAAGAGCCTTTCGGAAATGCTAAAATTAGGGGACAAGATAGAAAGAACACTAAAAGGGGAATTTTGTAACATTTATAAAGAAAAGATGTTCTTGTAAGAGATTTGAGAAGTTAACAACTGGAAAATGATACAAATAAGAACTCAGGATTATTATTGCATTCTAATTAAGTTACCAAAGTACTTGGTCCTGTTCATGGAAAGTGCTTCCACCAGTAAATCTGAATTATCCAAACTGCTTGGCTTATATATGTCCTTCAACTTTGCACTTTGCGGACAAATATAATAGAAGAGACTGGATTTCTGTTGAAATAAGGATTGTGGAGAATTGGTGAAAGATGAAAGTACATACTTACTTGATACTTTTATGCTAACTGTTTGAGAAAACAACATAGTATTAAGTTTCTCCACTGTATGTATTTTGCTTAACAAGGTTTTCTGGATTAGCCACATAGGTCATCTTTAGTTAGGTTTAGTCATTTTTCTTTTTGGTTTCCTATAAGCCCTGAGGATTTGATTCAACTGATTTATTTGTCTTACTTTTCATTCATGAACTTCCCAATATTGGACCATCATTTACCTTTTTATCCTTGATCGACGCAAGTCATATTTAAATGATTGGAGTCTTCTCTTATGCTACTTCAGTTCAATCATTCTTTTGTATCTGTCATCACAAGACCATTAATAATCTAAACTCTGTGTCTAACTTCTTCATAGAGAAGCTCAATTTGCTATATCGCCTAAAAACCTCATTAGTTAATTTAAAAGGCAAACCATAACAATCAGCCTAATACTCCCTACCCATTTTAGAAACTTGACCTTCATGCCTTTATAGAAAGGTTTTTTTCCTCTAAATATTTAACGAATATAAACTAATACTCTATAATTATTTAAGCCTAGATGTGATAGGTTTTCAATCTTATAACTCTAGTTTTTACATTTTTCTTTCTAAAGACTCGGTGATATAAATTAAGCCTACTGATTTATAATCTTTGAGTTGTTATCTGGTATTTTAGACTGGTTGGATAATACTAGGTATGTTGTTACTGTTATAGTTATTATTTGGCATTTATTTTATCTTACCACTCTTCTTTTCAACATTTTAGACATTATTTAACCACTTCTTATAATTCTCTTGTAAAGTCTGTCCTAAGTTCACTATCCTAGTCATAAAAAAATCAAGTTTTACAGGTTAGGAGATTGATATAAGAAAATGCATGGCAAACCATTGTCTCCGTATTCACCGAACATGCAGTTAAGAATTTAGAGGCCAATCATTCAATTACCAAAATCACATAATGAGCACTTCTTTTACATTCCTTTTGGATGTGTGCTTCGTTTAGAAGACTTTTAAGAGAACTTCTTTCATTGATACAAAGATCGTCAATAAGATGGAAAAGATTTTCTATATTAGTAATATAATCTAACCTTCATCGTTTGATAAATGTTATACATGTCATTCACATAGTTTTTTTTTTTTTTGTAAAGTTGAGAATATTGAGTAAATCTGGAGGTCTATGTCCAGAATTTGAATTTCCTTAAAATACAAATATATATTAAGTAATCAAAAAAAATTCCTGCATGAGTATCACAAACCAAACCTCTGACCAAGAACTTGAAGCAACATTAAGCAAACCTTAGCTATTGACAATCTGAACTCATCATTACCTTCTTTATATTGAGCTGCTATTACTCAAGTCAAAATATTTATGAAAAAGTCTCAGAAAAATCTCTCATTAAATATACAGTTCAGATGCACTCACAGAGATCTTAGCCAAATTTTATCTAAATTCTAAAGTGATGGCAAACATATTAATTCAGGTCAAATCCAATATGAATTTTTCCTCATAAAAATAGTTAAATTAACATAAGTGAACTTCAGAATATAGGTTTACAAATCAATAGTGTAAATAAAGTCCTGACTGTCTCATAGTAGTAATTCTTCAGTCACCTTGTGTGCCTCAGATCTGTAACTATTAAATAAATATAAAGAATCACAAACAATACAAAAGCCAGAACATGAAGTAATATATAAGAGTAATTTTTATCTCACTTTATTATTGTTATGGTGCACTCTTCTTACAAAATAAAATTTCTAAAACAAAATTCACAAAAAAAAAATTGTCATAAAAGCATGCATATGTGAAATACCAAATCAACCAAGCAAGAAGCCAAAAAGGAAAAGAGTAGTAGTGCAAAGGCAAGAACGAAGACCCAAGCACTCAAGCAGAAAGACTCTGCAAATCGCAATCACCAAAAATTAAAGCTATGACAAAGGAAGAGAAACAAATTTAAGAAGAGAGAACCCAAAATTCAAAGGCAATAAGGGGTTGCAGATGGCAAAAGCAAAAGAAAGTTAAAAGATATATTCACACGGTNAGCCAAGTAGGCATTAGAGCGGTTCTTATGCAAGATGGAAAGCCATTAGCCTATTTTAGTGAAAAACTTAAGGGAGCTTGTTTAAAGTACTCTAACTATGATAGGGAGTTGTATGCCTTAGTGAGAGCCATAGCTACTTGGAGACACTACCTTTGGCATAGGGAGTTTGTTGTTAAAACCGATCATGATGCTTTGAAGCACCTTAGAAGCCAAGGTAAGTTGGGGAATAGACATGCTAAATGGTTGGAATTTTTAGAGCAATTTCCTTATGTGGTCCATTATAAGAAAGGCAAAGAGAATGTAGTAGCGGATGCACTTTCTAGGAGATATGCCTTATTGAGTACTTTGTCTTGTAAGTTGATAGGATTTGAGTGCTTGAAGGATCTTTATCCTAGTGATATTGACTTTGGAGAGATATATTCTATGTGTGAGAACCATGACTCTTTTAAGAGAATTCCCAACAGAGAGGAAGAATGTCTTGACAAAGAAGAACATAAGGAGAGAAAGAAAGAGTTAGCTCACCTTAGGGAGGAAAGAAGGTTTTCCAAGGTTGATGGATTTTTGCTTAGGGAAGGTAGACTTTGTGTGCCTCGTTCTTCTTGGAGAGAGTTGCTAGTTAGGGAAGCACATAGTGGGGGTTTGATGGGCCATTTTGGAATTGATAAGTCTTTAGCCATTCTTGAGGAACACTTTTGTTGGCCTAAAATGAAAGGTGATGTTGTGCATATTTGTGAAAATTGTATTGAATGTAAGCATGCTAAATCTAAGTCTAATCCTTATGGTTTGTACACCCCACTCCCTATTCCCAAAGCGCCATGGCTTGATATTTCTATGGACTTTGTGCTTGGTTTACCTAGGACGAAGAGGGGAAAAGATAGCATCTTTGTGGTTGTTGATCGATTTTCTAAGATGGCTCATTTTATACCTTGCCATAAGAGTGATGATGCTACACATGTACTTGATCTGTTTGTAAACGATGTGCTTAAGTTGCATGGGGTTCCTAGATCTATTGTTAGTGATAGGGATACCAAGTTTGTTAGTTACTTTTGGAAAAGCCTTTGGAGTAAACTTGGCACGCATTTGAAATTCTCTACTTCTTGTCACCCCCAAACCGATGGCCAAACCGAAGTGGTCTATAGGACCTTAGGTAACATGCTTAGGGCCATGGTCAAGGGGAAGCTTACTTCTTGGGAGGAGCATTTACCATTGATTGAGTTTGCATATAATCGTTCTTATCATTCTTCTATTGGCATGACTCCTTTTGAAGTGTGTATGGTTTTAATCCCCTCACCCCTTTGGATCTAACTCCTTTGTCTCAAGATGTGATTGTTAGTTTAGATGCCAAGAAAAGGGCCGAGGCTATGAAGAAGATTCATGAGAAGGCAAGACATCAACTTGAGAAAATGAATGACAAAGCGGCTTCTAGGGCCAACAAAGAAAGAAAGCGGATGATATTTGAACCCGGTGATTGGGTTTGGATTCACTTGAGGAAGGAAAGATTTCCTCAAAAGAGAAAGAACAAACTTCTCCATAGGGGAGAAGGCCCCTACCGAGTTCTTGAAAGGATAAATGATAATACATATAAGATTGATATTCCTAATGATCTCCTTGTTCATGATGTCTTTAATGTTAGTGACTTGAGTCCTTGTGTTGTAGGTAANTTAATTGCCTAAAGCTCATACAATGCATTGGTTGGTCGATGGTGGTTACTTCATTCGTTTGTAAGATATTCAGGAACTTTACATTTCCTCCATGATAAATGATTCTATATTTTAAGAACTGCTGGCTAACTCTAAGATTCAGTCTTCTCTAACAGGAAAAATCTCTGGAGATGTTGTTTCTTTACATATATAATCCTATCACTTCTTGTGCCTTCCCTTTCATTATCTCTTACTTCAATTTATGTTGCTAGCAGATAAGCAAATACTTAAAAGAAGGTCGAGGCTTTGTTGCTATTTTTCTTTGTTCCCGCTATCTGTTCCTATAATGTAAAGTGTAATCTGAACTTATTTCATTGTTGTAGACTAACAACTAGATGATCTTGAACACCTCCCTCAAGAAGGTAATATTTTTGTTAAAATTCCTGTTTGGTTCCTGAAATACTGTGCGACATATCATATTCATCTTTGTTCCTGAAATGTGAGCAAAGCTTCGTAGACGGCTTCGCTTCCTCCTCGCTTCTTTCCTGGCGACTAGCTTCTCAAGTGGGCGGCTTGGTAAGCAAGCTAACTTGTCAGATTCATCTGTTTCAATTATACATATTGAAGTACAAAATCTACAGATATGTAAAAATATGTCAAAAATTCACCGGCATTCAAGAGCCTTTCGGAAATGCTAAAATTAGGGGACAGTCACGACCCCAGTTCGCCCTCCGTGAACTGTCGTGACGGCACCTAGTCTCTACGACTAGGTAAGCCTAACAATGCGGAACATAAGCAAAACTTGCGGAAGAAATAATCAAAACCATAGATAACCAAAATAAGCGATATATAAAATGCCGCTCAGCATGCACAATACTTAACTTCTCAAAACCAATACGTACTCCCAAGACCCGGAAACCCATGAAGCACAAGCTAAGAAATACTACATAGCTCTAACTCCGGAATGTCTAACAAGAACAGAGAATACAGAAGGGCTAAATACTAATGCGGGAATAGAAAGAGACTCCCCGGTCTGCGGACGCGGCAGATATACCTCGAAGTCACTAGAGCAGTCGCTTCGCCTCAGGGGTGGTAGGACTGGATAGAAGTACCTGGATCTGCACATGAAAAACATGCGCAGAAAGGGCATGAGTACACCACAACGGTACTCAGTAAGTGCCAAGCCTAACCTCGGTTGAGTAGTGACGAGGAAGGTCAGGGCCTTACTGAGATAAGATAAAATATAAGGTATAACAGGATAAGATAAGCAATTCAGTTGCAAGCTAACAACAAAAGTTGAATACGAAAAGGTAAGGAATGCAATAACCGAAACAGAGGCTAAAACGATCACAAGGATAATAACCGGGGATCTCTCAGTATCCCGAGGATCTCTTAGCATCCTCAATCTGTACCAGGGATCTCTTAGATATCTCGAGGATCTCTTGGTGTCCTCAATATATGCTAGGGTATCCCGATGATCTCTTGGTATCCTCAATATATATGCTAGGGTATCCCGATGATCTCTTGGTATCCTCAATATATATGCTAGGGATCTCTTGGTATCCCGAGGATCTTTTGGTATCCTCAATATATGCTAGGGATCTCTTGGTATCCCGAGGATCTCTTGGTATCCTCGATATATTCTAGGGATCTCTTGGTATCCCGATTATATGTGCCGGGGATCTCTTGGTATCCCGCACTATAGTCCAAATCAATATATATGCAGGGGATCTCCCGGAATACCATTCCGTAGTCCCAAAGTAAACACACAACAACAACACGAAGAATACACAATTAAATTCAAATTCCATATCAAGGTAAAACAGGTATTTCTAGCCTAGCATGTTGCATATAATCCAAATAAGGCATTTTAAGCAAATAGGCAATTAAGTCAACTAGGCATACTTTTCTAACTAACAATAGAATAAAACAGGAGAGAAAGGAACTTAGTTTAAATACTTAAAGTAAAAATCGGGTTTCCAACAATTAGCTCAAGTACGCGCTCGTCACCTCACGTACAAGGCATTCAATTATCAAATATCATATCCTAAGGGGAAGGTCCCCCACACAAGGTTAGACAAGCCACTTACCTCGAACCGGCTCAAAATCAACTAGAAATCACGCTTTTGCCACGAGTATCTGACTCCAAATGGCCCAAATCTATTCAATTCAATTGCATGTAGTAAATAACTCCTCAAGTAACTGATTCTACAATTAAATTCTAGGTTAATACACGAAATTATGTAAACTGACCAAAATGCCCCTCGGGCCCACGTCTCGGAATCGAGTAAAATTTTCATTTCCAGAATACTCACATCCTCACGAGTCTAAACATATAAAAATTTACCCAATTCCGATATCATTTGGTCCTTCAAATTATCATTATATATTTTTGAAATATTACACAATTTTTCTTTCCAAATTTCATCCCAAATCACGAATAAAATGATGAATTCAATGATAGATTCATGTACACTGGCCAAATCTGAGTTAAAATCACTTACCCCGATGAATTTCTTGAAAAACCTTTGAAAAATCGCCAAAATTCGAGCTCTCTAGGTCAAAATATCAAATAAAACCCAAAACCTCATATTTATAGACCACCCCCCAGATTTCTACCTCTGCGGACCGCACAAAAAATGACCGCGGTCCGCACCAAACCAGTGCGGTCTGCACAAAAACGACGGCGGCCGCACATGTCTTGACTGCAGTGATAAGCTTTAGTATTTTGGCCATAACTTTCGCTACAGATGTCCAAATTATGATTTCTTTAGCTTTCTGGAAACTAGACACGAAGGGCTACAACTTTTGTTTTTGAATCATCTCAAAATTCCTTGTAGATAAAAAGATATGAGCTCCCGAAGTAGGACCAGTGAAACAGCCCCCCACCGCGGACTGCACTACATTTTGTGCGGCCGCACAGCCCCCACCGCGGACGCACTGGATTTCGTGCGGACCGCATTGGTGGGTTCTGAGGCCTGCAACTCTTCTGGACCTGCAATGGCTTTGATTTTTGGCCTAAAAACATTCCGGAACCTACACGGAACTCACCCGAGTCCCCGGAACTTCAAACCAATTGCACCAACATAACCTAAAACATCGTTCAAACTTGTCCCAACCTTCGGAACGCTACAAACAACACCATTTTTCATCGAATTCAACCTTAAGAACTTCAAAAACTCTAAAAATACATTTTTGATCAAAAAATCTATCAAACCTCGTCCGAATGACCTGAAATTTTGCACACACATCCAAAATGACATGACGGAGCTATTGCGACTTCCGGAATTCCATTTCGACCCTCGGATCAAAAGTTCACTATCGGATCGGAAACTTCAAAAATTCAAACTTCGGCAGTTCAAGCCTAAATTAGCTACGCACCTACAAAACACATTCCGAACACACTCCCAACCCCGAAATCACCTAACGAAGCTAACGGAACCATCGGATTTCCGTTCCGAGACCGTCTTGACATCGTTTCGACTATGGTCAGTTTTCCAACACTTAAGCTCTGGAGCATTTAGGGACTAAGTTCCCCAAACTCTCCGAAACTCAAAACCGAACGTCCCGGCAAATCAAAATAGCAGAAATAAACTTGGGGAAATAGGGGATCGGGGCGTTAATTCTTAAGACGACCAGCCGGGTCGTCACATCCTCCTACACTTAAACATTCGTTCGTCCTAGAACGAGCATAGAGACATACCTGAAGTGAAGCTGCTCATGGCCCCAAACTGCTGAGCAACGCGCTAGAGCTCAAAACGACCGGTCGGGTCGTTACAGGGACAAGATAGAAAGAACATTAAAAGGGGAACTTTGTAACATTTATAAAGAAAAGATGATCTTGTAAGAGATTTGAGAAGTTAACAACTGGAAAATGATACAAATAAGAACTCAGGATTATTATTGCAGTCTAATTAAGTTACCAAAGTACTTGGTCCTGTTCATGGGAAGTGCTTCCACCAGTAAATCTGAATTATCCAAACTGCTTGGCTTATATATGTCCTTCAACTTTGCACTTTGCAGACAAATATAATAGAAGAGACTGGATTTCTGTTGAAATAGGGATTGTGGAGAATTGGTGAAAGATGAAAGTACATAGTTACTTGATACTTTTATGCTAACTGTCTGAGAAAACAACATAGTATTAATGTGACGATCCAAAGGGTCATCACCTTTTTTCTTATTCATTACGTGCTTCCGAGGCTTCGAAAACCTCATTGACTTTTGTGTGAAAAACGCTAAATTTTGATATTAATATGAGTATATTTGACTTCGGTCAACATTTTGGATAAACGGACCTGGACCCGTGATTTGACGGTCCCGGAGGGTCCGTAGAAAAATATGGAACTCGGGCATATGCCCGGAGTCAAATTCCGAGGTCTAGAGCCCGAGTAATGAATTTTTTTGTGAAATTGTTTTTCTGAAATTATTAAGGAAATTGAAAATGAAATTTGATTAAAAGATTGTGGTATCGGGCTCGTATTTTGGTTCCGACGCCCGGTACAAGTCTTATATATGGTTTAAGCACTTTCTGTAAAATTTGGTTGAAGTTGGACGTCGTTTGACGTGTTTCGGACTTAAAATGAAAATTTGATGCTTTATGAAAATTTCAAAGAAAAACATGAATTTTGAGGCTTGATTCGATGTATATGATGTTATTTTGGCGATTTGGTCGCACGGATAAGTCCATAGGATGTTATTGAGGTTGTATGCATATTTGGTTTGGAGCCCCGAGAGCTCGGGTGAGTTGTGGATAGGCCACGCATTGCATTTTTGAACTGGTAAAGATCTGGTATTTTGGCTTCTGTGATTTTCGCAAATGCGAAGAGGAGACTCGCAAATGCGAGCTTTGAGTCGCAATTGTGAAGTCTGGGGACTGGGTATAGGATCGCAAATGCGATTCATTTGCTCGCAAATGCGAACGTGGGAATTCCGGGCACTGGTCGCAAATGCGATCATGGTGCTCGCAAATGCGGAGGGTGTTTGATCGCAAATAAGTCCGGCATTGTGCACAGTGTTCGCAAATGCGAACTTGACTTCGCAATTCCCAAGTTAGCAGGTCGGGGTTCGCAATTGCGAACCCCAGTTCGCAATTCCCATATCCGAGGCCCAGCAAATTTTATACTTAGTCGAATTTTCATCACTTTTCACCATTCTTTCAAAACCCAAACACCATAGGCGATTTTTTCAAGAACAAACTTCATCCCAAATCATTTGTAAGTCGATTTCTACTCAATTCTTTCAATCTTTAACATCATTTAACATGTTTTTCACTTAAAATCAAGGATTTTCATGGGTGAAATTGGGGTTTTTGGGTAGAACCTAGGTTTTCAAAAAATTGGGGATTTGGACCTCGAATTGAGGTCCGATTTCAAAAAAAATTATATATTTGAGTTCGTGGGGGAATGGGTAACCGGGTTTTGGTTCGAACCTCGGGTTTTGACCACGGGGCCCGGGGGCGATTTTGGAATTTTTGGGAAAAACTTTGGAAAATTCATTTTTATGCATTCAAATTGATTCATTTAGTGTTTATTAATGTAATTAAGTAATTTGTGGCTAGATTCGAGCGGATTGGAGGTGGAATAACGGGGTAAAGCCATAGTTGAGGCTTGAGTTGAGTTCAAGGCATCGAGGTAAGTGTTTGGTTTAACCCTAGCTTGAGGGAATAAGAGTTAAGTCTTATTTGTAACTTGCTAATTGTCGAGTACGATGTATAGGCATGGTGACGAGTACCTATACATTGGTGTCTAGCATGACTGTGAGTCCTTATTTGCGAATAGTTTGGTTGTTGTTATACTTTCCATGCTTAAATGATGACTTCTATATGTTTTAAAGACCTTGTGAAAGAAATTGTGATCTTGAAACTTAGTGGAGCATTGGCTCGGGTTGAAATACAAATTGTGAAGGTATATGAGATAAGTAACTCTTTGGAGCATTGGCTCAAGTGATAATGTGAACTGTGAGATGAAAGTGAAAGAAAAAAAGGAGTTAATGATTCATTCCCTTGCCGGGACGTTGTTGGTTATTGATATTGTACCTTTGCCGGGTTTTTAAATTGTTGTTTGTGTTCCCTTGCCGGGATTTTCATTATTGTTTATTTATTCCCTTGCCCTTGTTTGTGATTGTTGATTGGGTGAGGAAGAGTGTTAAAGCACGAAGGGTGGTGCTGTGCACTGTTTGTTTATGGTAAGGAAAGAGTGTAAAGCACGAATGGTGATGCCGTGCATTGTTGCTTATTATGAGAAAGAGTGTTAAAGCACGAAGGGTGATGCCGTGCCGCACGATGTACCATTCCGTGCCGATTCTATTGATATATGTGAGGAATGAGAGTAAAAGCACGAAGGGTGATGCCGTGCGCATGTTATTGCTTGGTGAGGACAAGAGTAAAAGCATGAAGGGTGATGCCGTGCACTGGTTGAATTCTGTTTCATTACGTACTATTGAGTTGTGTTGTATTCCTTTATTATTGGACGACTCTTATTTGGAATTTATTATACTCCCCATAGCATGTTTCCCCTCCCATATTGTTTATCTGTTTTGTATTTCGATTCCGCTGTATATATATATGAAATTGCACAGATTTATGTGGTAGTCTGGTCTAGCCTCGTCACTACTTTGCCGGGGTAGACTAGACACTTACCAGCACATGGGGTCGGTTGTGCTGATGCTACACTCTATGCATTTTTGCACAGGTCCACGTTTCGAGCAGCAACAGCTTTAGTTCAGGAGCATACCTTCAGACCGGAGAGACCCGAGGTAGCCTTGCAGGCGTCCGCAGGCCCGGCGTCTCCCTTCTATCCTTATATTAGACTGTCATCTCTTTGTATTCGGGATAAACAGATTTCTGTTTCTTTCAGACCTTGTATTTAGTAAATTCTTAGTAGTTTCTGAGTAATGTGACGCCAGTCTTGGGTAGAGGCTATTGTTGATTGTTCCGCGTTATGATTCAGATTATAAATCAGACTTCCGCTATTATTAAATTTCGTGTTCTATATTGATGCTATGAATTGTTAAGAGATTTGTTTATTAATGGAAGGGTAATTAAGTTGGCTTGTCTAGCTACCACGAGTAGGCGCCATCACGACCCCGAGGGTGAAAAATTCAGGTCGTGACAATTAAGTTTCTCCACTATATGTATTTTGCTTAACAAGGTTTTCTGGATTAGCCACATAGGTCATCTTTAGTTAGGTTTAGTCATTTTTCTTTTCGGTTTCCTATAAGCCATGAGGATATGATTCAAGTGATTTATTTGTCTTACTTTTCATTCATGAACTTCCCAATATTCGACCATCATTTACCATTTTATCCTTGATCAACGCAAGTCATATTTAAACGATTGGAGTCTTCAGAGAATCCATGTTACTTCAGTTCAATCATTCTTTTGTATCTGTCATCACAAGATCATTAATAATCTAAACTCTGTGTCTAACTTTTTCATAGAGAAACTCAATTTGCTATATTGCCTAAAAACCTCATTAGTTAATTTAAAAGGCAAACCATAACAATCAGCCTAATACTCCCTACCCTTGTTAGAAACTTGACCTTCATGCCTTTATAGAAAGGTTTTTTTCCTTTAAATTTTTAACGAATATAAACTAATACTCTATAATTATTTAAGCCTAGATGTGATAGGTTTTCAATCTTATAACTCTAGTTTTTACATTTTCTTTCTAAAGACTCGGTGATATAAATTAAGCCTACTGATTTATACTCTTTGAGTTGTTATCTGCCATTTTAGACTTGTGGGATAATACTGGGTATGTTCTTACTGTTATAGTTATTATTTGGCATTTATTTTATCTTACCACTCTTCTTTTCAACATTTTAGACTATTATTTAACCACTTCTTATAATTCTCTTGTAAAGTCTGTCCTAAGTTCACTATCCTAATCATAAAAAATCAAGTTTTACAGGTTAGGAGATTGAAACAAGAAAATGCATGGCAAACCATTGTCTCCGTATTCACCGAACATGCGGTTAAGAATTTAGAGGCCAATCATTCAATTACCAAAATCACATAATGAGCACTTCTTTTACATTCCTTTTGGATGTGTGCTTCGTTTAGAAGGCTTTTAAGAGAACTTCTTTCATTGATACAAAGATCGTCAATAAGATGGAAAATATTTTCGATATTAGTAACATAATCTAACCTTCATCGTTTGATAAATGTTATACATGTCATTCACATAGTTTTTTTTTCTTGTAAAGTTGAGAATATTGAGTAAATCTGGAGGTCTATGTCCAGAATTTGAATTTCCTTAAAATAGAAATATATATTAAGTAATCAAAAAAAAATTCCTGCATGAGTATCACAAACCAAACCTCTGACCAAGAACTTGAAGCAACATTAAGCAAACCTTAGCTATTGACAATCTGAACTCATCATTACCTTCTTTAATATTGAGCTGCTATTACTCAAGTCAAAATATTTATGAAAAAGTCTCAGAAAAATCTCTCATTAAATATACAGTTCAGATGCACTCACAGAGATCTTAGATTTTATCTAAATTCTAAAGTGATGGAAAACATATTCAGGTCAAATCCAATATGAATTTTTCCTCATAAAAATAGTTAAATTAACATAAGTGAACCTCAGAATATAGGTTTACAAATCAATAGTGTAAATAAAGTCCTGACTGTCTCAGAGTAGTAATTCTTCAGTCACCTTGTGTGCCTCAGATTTGTAACTATTAAATAAATATAAAGAATCGCAAACAATACAAAAGCCAGAACATCAAGTAATATATAAGAGTAATTTTTATCTCACTTTATTATTGTTATGGTGCACTCTTCTTACAAAATAAAATTTCTAAAACAAAATTCACAAAAAAAATTGTCATAAAAGCATGCATATGCAGAAATACCAAATCAACCAAGCAAGAAGCCAAAAAGGAAAAGAGTAGTAGTGCAAAGGCAAGAAAGAAGACCCAAGCACTCAAGCAGAAAGACTTTGCAAATCGCAATCACCAAAAATTAAAGCTATGACAAAGGAAAGAAAAAAATTTAAGAAGAGAGAACCCAAAATTCGAAGGCAATAAGGGGTTGCAGATGGCAAAAGCAAAAGAAAGTTAAAAGATATATTCACACGGTGACATCAAATAGAACAAAATAAAGAAGAAATAAGAGGAACAAACTTGATACCTCTACTGCAAAACAGTCATATTCTACACTATTTTTGAGTAAAGATCAGTTAGAAAAGAGATGGAATAGAGAAATCAAGGTATTGGACATGGAAGAAGAGAATGGAGACTGAAAGAGTTAGAACCACGTGTTTGTCATCTGAAGCAATAGGGAGATAAACAGAACTTTCAAAAGACAGCTGGTTTGCTAAAAAAAGATGTACAACACGTGTTGATGAGATTAGCAATCTTCAGTTGCAATATCTTCTCCATCGTTTTTTCCATTGGATTCCCGAGCATTGTTCTCCTGATTTGCCACGTTTTTGAGTCTTATCATCTCGATGCTCCTTCTGGCTCTCTCTATCCTCTCTCTCTGTGTCTCCCCCTTCCATTCGCTATCTCTCTTTGCTACTTGTGTGTATCATCTAGAGTCTAGACGACGCAACCACTAAGAGGATGAAAAATAGGAAAAATAATTTTCATCATCTTCCTCTTGTGCTCTTCCGTTGCGCATGGACTGGTTAATATTGATTTGTCTGTTCAATGGGCAGTGTGCTGGGTTGGCAACCGATGATGGGGAAGTTTCTATACTTTTAGAAAATCTCAGTGTGCGCTTGTCACGATCCCATTTCACCCTCCATGAACATGTCGTGATGGCACCTAGTTCCTACAACTAGGTAAGCCTAACAATGCGGAAATAACAACCGAACATTGCGAAATGGTTAAATAAAGCTAGACATATTAAAATAATAACTGCATATAAGGCCGCTCGGCCTATACAACTCAAAAGAAATGCGGAAGTCTACAACTCAATCCCAAAATCCGGAAACTCACGGGAACCATAGGCTAACAGAGACATAGTACTCTGCTCTAACTCTAGATTATCTAAACAACTGAGAGAAAAGGAATAAACTAAGTACTAAAGTTGGAACAGAATAGAGACTCCTGGTCTGCGGACGCGACAGATATACCTCGAAGTCTCCGTGTATCTCCTCGCCTCAAGGATAGTGCGCTTGAGTGGAGGTACCTGGATCTGCACATGAAAAACATGCGCAGGAAGGGCATGAGTACACCACAACGGTACTCAGTAAGTGCCAAGCCTAACCTCGGTTGGGTAGTGACGAGGAAATTTCAGGGCCCTACTGAGGTAAAACACAATATATAATAGGTTAAGGGAAATAGTATAGATAAAGTCTACAATAAGAATCTAAACAGGATAAATAAGGGAAACAATATAGGAAGCAGAAACAAAACAATATAAAGAATACTGCTCACAACAGGAAGTAATAGCCGGGGATCTCTTGGTATCCTCATCGTATACACTAGGAATCTCTTGGTATCCCGAGGATCTCTTGGTATCCTCAAATCTTACATTTACATGTGCCGGGGATCTCTTGGTATCCTCAAATCTTACATTTACATGTGCCGGGGATCTCTTGGTATCCCGCACCTCAATCCAGAACACAACAAGTACAGGGGGATCTCCCGGGATGCCGTCCCGTAGTCCCAATTTAAAACACACAATAACAACCCAACACATTAGGATAAATGCTAAACTCAGAACAAGTAATAGAAATCCTAGCCTAACATGCTCCACGGAATACAACAAGACAGTTTAAACACTTAAGCAAGTAAGTCAACTAAACATGCTTCTCTAAACTAGCATAGGACAAACTTACAATTTAAAATAAATAGGTAAGCAAGAAAAACTCAATTTAAATACTTCGAGTAAAAACGGATTTCCAACAATTAGCTCAAGTACGCGCTCGTCACCTCACGTACGAGGCTTTCAAATATCAAATACTCATGTCCTAAGGGGAAGAGGTCCCCCACACAAGGTTAGACAAGCCACTTACCTCGAACCGACTCAAAATCAACTAGAAATCACGCCTTTGCCATGAGTATCCGACTCCAAATTGGCCCAAATCTATTCAATTCAATTACACATTGTAAACAACATCGCAAACAACTGGT